TGTCAATAACATCGAACGAATTTATGGTCACTGGAAACTTTAATTCGTTTTGTAAATCTCCACCTGTCTTGTTGATGCTCTCGATGTTGTTGCAGCTGACGTAATACAATCGCCTGTAACGGAAATCAGATGCAATGTTACTTTCTCTCGTCAGTTTAAGAAAAAGGTTTCGCCACACTTCAGTATGTAGATATGATATTGTTTATTCGCTTGTTGGACCCCGCACGAAGCAATATTCTCAGCTCTATATATGGCGGCGGTTTGTAAGTAATCTGGGCCAGACAACCCAGTGATCAACAGCATGAGCATTGATCTAAGCAATTGGAATACGATGACATGTGTCAACCAAGCCAGTCAGCCTAACCACCAAGTCGCCTCTTACAACGCATTGGATTCTGAAGTCCAATACTGACCCGGATCTTCACGGAAATGTACCAATGATATTGGGGGGTGGGGGTGGGGGTGGGGTTGGGGGTACAACGCTCTATAGATACTGAAATTCACCCATCGTAATAAACCATTCATATAACTGGGTATCGTTTAGGAATATACATATACCACAGTAATCTATAACACACGAGTGTATATTCGGTAACATGGAATCAACGCATCAGAATGACGAAGCTGGCTTATTATGGCCAGTAACACTGTGTTAAATACAAAAACAAGACTATGAGAGAAAATATGTCGATGACATGTGCAACATAGAATAGAACAGGTCAGATATACAATAAATGAGCATTAACACTGTGTAAAATACAAAACCGAACTGTATGGCCAAGCTATTAAAATTGCAACATGTTCTAAGGAATAGAATTATTTTCTAGGAGCGTAAATTTTGTGTGAAACACAGAAGTATGATTGTTAAACTAACCCATTATAAGCTCTGATTGTGCCAGGCGTGCAGGAGACTGTAGCGACTTGGACGACGGTGAAATCAGTTTGGTTAATGGACAGGACTACATCATCGACGTTATTTGCTGCATAATCAATAGCGACGTATACTGTATCACCACAGAATGTAATGCCAGTCCCGACTCCAGATGAGGTTAGATCTAGATGGTACGTGAAAACAGACAGAAATTGGAATCATTTACTTTTTGTTTGTTGTTTAACGCCGCACTCAACAATATTCCAGCTCAAGGCTGCGGTCTGTACGAAAATAGAAAGTTAAATGGGTGAATACTTTATTCTGCTGTGTGGCATGAACTGCAACAACACAGACATACTCGAGTTGAATATTTTCAACACATTATCAAGTGCAACTCGTTGTTAGTAAAACATGGGCTTTCAATGTTTCATAAAGATCTCGGATTGTTCAGAAAGGTTTTCAGTTCGTAAAGTTAGGGACAGTTCATGACTAAAGTACTGTCGGAAATGCTAGAAAAATGCTTTTTTGACTTATATTTAAAATTCAGAGGTATAACAGTTACTTGAATAACAAATTTCACTTTAAGAAACATCTACCTAATGTAGACCGATGGAATAAATTTTGAGACATGCCCTATAGTTTGGCATGAAATGCATGTGGACCCGGTTTTTTGTAAATATCTCTTCATCCAATGACCCAATCGATCTCAAACTGTGCAAGTGGATGTTTTGTCAGACAACCTAATCACATTGTAAATCACCGATTTTATGCATTTGTATTAAAGAATCTGTCTATGTAACTGTCAACAAAATAAACAGCAGACCGCAGACTGCTTGCAGAGGGTGGGAGCCAATGACCTGTAACAGCGGCAGTGTTGGGTCATAAAAGTCAATGTAGGTCAGCTATGCACGTGACAGGTATGAAGAGGTGTTCATTTCTAGCAAATAGCCGGCGAATGGCATCTCTGATGACCCTGATGTCAAAAGAATCTAACTTTGGATGCCTACCTTTTTGTACAAGGTTTTGTTTATTTGGTTTGTTGGTATATTTTTCACAATTTTTAGCACGATGTTCTTTTTCATGCCAAGAACAAAAGTTGTACGTTTCATGTAATGCGACACCTTATAAATCGGTTTGCTACGTTTGCTCTCTTTTTTAATAAAATTCAACACATTTCTAATTAAACGTTTAGCATCATCTGAATAAGCTTTCATGATGATAGCTAGAAGTAGTCAATGTGAATGATTCAAACGGTCTTTCACTGTGCAGTGCACAGGTAACTATCATGAACTGCACGTGCATTTACCTTTATGACCCAACACTGCCGCTGTTACAGGTCATTGGCTCCCTCCCTCTGCAAGCAGTCTGCGTTCTGCTGTTTATTTTGTTGACAGTTACATAGACAGATTCTTTAATACAAATGCATATTTGTGATTTACAATGTGATTAGGTTGTCCGACAAAACATCCACTTGCACAGTTTGAGATCGATTGGGTCATTGGATGAAGAGATATTTACAAAAAAACGGGTCCACATGCATTTCATGCCAAACTATAAAATGAGTTTTTACTGATGAAAATACCAAAAACTTATAACGGGTAGTGGGACGTTATTTGATACAAACATTAACTGCCAGTGTTACGTCATCAGCATGCACGATATCAACGGGTGAAATTGACACCTGAGCACACGCTCTGGTGAGGGGTCATCTCAATAGATGTTTTCTTCAAAATGTTGAATATGTGTACGTATAGTATACGTATTGGTTATGTAAGTGATCATTTGTGTATGTGTGTTTGTTTTGAAATAAACATACGAATTACTGCACATTGGAAAGAATCCTATCACTTGTGTTATCTTATCGATTGATTGTAGAAATATGCAACGTTTTAATAAATGTTTTGCATGTCAACAGTATATTTCATTGCAAAAATATGGATGTAATTCGGTCAGTTTAATCTAGTTGTGAACATTGACCAAAGATTTAACGAAGTCACTGGTGTAGCTTCTTTAGAATATATATATTCTTCTTCTCAAAGTTTGTAGACCGCCCGTCTAAGTACTCCCTTGTCAAAGTGGTAAAGGATGGTTTTACGTCCCGGTTTTGCTTTTGAGACTGTCCCTGTCTTGTCTGATTTGTTTACAATATTGTAAACTTGTTGGTAAGACATGCCAACAGATCTACAAGTTCTGTAATAAACCCTTTCTAAACTAATGAAAGGTTTACCTCTGTCTTTTTCAAGCACAGAAACTTATAAACCTTTGCAACAATGGACTGCAAATAGTTGGCCATAGTGGACGCTGTGATAAAGATGTGCATGCATGACGGGAAACTTATTTATCAAGACTTAACATTTATCTTAATATTTCTTCAATAAAGAAACGATAATTAAGTAAAGTAACACAAACATTCAACATTTATTTGTTAAAGAAGAACGTTGATTCATATTTTTACACCACTTGTATTATTAGCATAAATGTAAAGACTATTTCAGATTTCTGTTGTTGAACTCTGAAAAAATCCTAAGTTGTTGTTTTGGTACCATATTCTCTCCTGTAAACTTCCCTTCAAAGGCATGGGAATGTTAAATCGATTGAAATCAAATTAGGTACACTATAGGCGAGTTGATATATTGACAGCATAGTACATTTATCACCTTTATCAAAGCATTAAGGCTAAAAAGCATTTTTCTAGTACAAGCAGCCGCATATACACATACCCACGCATGCACGTCGTCATATGAGCGAAATATTCTCAAGCACGACGTAAAACCCAATTTCACCTCACCTCACCTTCATGATAGACCTGCTGGGGGCGTGACGCATCAGAGACTAAGATGACGCCCGATGCAATTCCCTTTCAAGCTTGAACCATATGTGCCCGTGTGTTTGTTTGGTTTCTTTTCATATAAACACTTGGCTTGCCTTTGTAAGTGTTTGCCCTGAATGCCACTGGTTGGCGAGCCAGGATACGCTCACCACTTTGCAAACAGTGGAGTCGTCACTATATGACAGTGATTTATAAACACATGCTAATTATATATTCGGAATCGCAAAAACAGAAATTTATTGTGGCACTGAAAAAGTTGTTCTGAAGACATTTTTGGTTTTTTCACAAAAAGTGCTTGCCCAAACGCACCCAGTGCATACTGGTCCTATCGCATGAGGTGAGGTGAGGTGAATTTGGGTTTAACGTCGTGCTTGAGAATATTTCGCTCATATGACGACGTGCATGCGTGTGTATGTGTATGTGCAGCTGCTTGTACTAGCCTAGACTGAAGCTGGTTTTATAGTGCTAGCCCACTGAGATACCACGCCGCAGTGAAGCATGAATACCCCACTCAGACACATTATACTGACTCCGAGCCGACCAGTCCTTGTTGTACCCATTAATGCCGAGCGCCAGACAGGGACCAACAAGTACCATATTTTAACGTCTTTTGGTATGACGCGATCGGGGATCGAACCCGCGACCTTCCGCTCTCCGGGCGGACGCTCTAACCACTACACTACGGAGGAGGTTCCTATCGCATGAATACACCAGAAGATTGGTATGCGTGCAGGTGAAATACGAAGTAGTTTTGGGTGTATCAGACGGTGGTAAACGATACACTGGCCCCATTCGTCGCATTTGTTCTTAGGCATTAAGCGGATTCGTTTTGCTATTGTGACATTAGATTAGTGGCTTTTGAGCGTTACATTATTGTACTTGTATTAGAATATTGTAGTGTTTAGAGGTTAGGCAATTAGCGGTTTTATTCAAAGCTCATTTTCTTCATTTAGAATCACTTTAAGAGAATCACGTTTACATAATTATAAACCATGTAATTTTTTCTCACTTGTAATACAAGTGTTCCCAGTTTAGGCCAAAGGTAAGTTTCAAAATTTAGTTGATAATAGTTTCAGTTAAATTAGACACATCTGCACATTTCCACTGCGCAAAACGGGTTTCTATTATTTGAAAGGCATGTATAAGATCTGTTATGGTACGTTCATATGTTACATCATAAAACCCTTCACACTTTATTGTTGTATGCTCTACAGTCACGGGGTTGTTATTAAGAACATAATGACGCACCTGTTTCATTGGCCACCGTTGTTTCATTATAACTTGGGTAGTGCAGACAGTTTACGACGAAGGGGCATTACTGATGAAGCACAGAGTGAAGGACTCATCACTCTGTCTCTCCCCAACTGCAACAGCGCTGACATTTGAGCTGACAGTGATGTCTTGCAGGATCGTCCTGACTGGGTCGACGACAGCAATGTCGGACGTCTCATCACTAGCAACAAGTGCTGCACATCCCTCAACTGTAAAACGTCATTGTAAAACATAGTAAAATATCATAGTACAAAATAGTAAAACATCATAGTAAAACATACTAAGACATCATAGTAAAACATAGTAAAACATCATAGTAAAACATCATAGTAAAACATAGTAAAACATCATAGTAAATAGTCAAACATCATAGTAAAACATAGCAGTGAGTGAGTAGTTATACGCCGCACTCGTAAATGTTCCAGCTATATGGCGGCGGTCTGTAAAACATAGTAAAACATCATAGTAAATCATCATAGTAAAACATACTAAAACACCATAGGGTATATTCTATTAGAGCAATATTATGCGGATATATTCGTAGGATAACTGTTTCCCAAATACAGGGCGAACAAGACGTGTCTGTGTATGTTGTGAACATTTATTAAATTTGTCGTCTTTATATGTTACAGCAGCTTTTGGTATTTGATACTTGGACGTGTTATCAAGAAATACCACATACAGTCAACCTGCATTAGCCATATTTCATATACAATACAAACAATATTATGTATCTGTGCATACTTGTGTACATGTATACATCTGTCGGAAAATAATGGGTAATGTAAAAATAGTTGTAGTCAAACCTGCACTAGTCATAGTTCATATACAACATGACCAATATTATGCATCTACGTACATATAATGGGTAATGTAGAAATGACATATGCCTCCCATGCTATCAGAGGCCTTCAAACCTTTATTAGCTGTACTTCATGATACAATATTATGCAAACTCGTGAAGGCCCGGGTTAGAATATTGGCCTTCAGTAACCCATGCTTGTCGTAAGAGTCGACTAACGGGATCGGGTGGTCAGGCTCGCTGACTTGGTTGACACATGTCATCGGTTCCCAATTGCGCAGATCGATGCTCATGTTGGTGAGTGCGGCGTAAAACTAAACTCACTCACTCACTCACAATATTATGCATTTATGCATACCTATGTACATGTAAACATAGAAAATCGATGGTTAGTTATATTTCTTGCTGAACGTTAGTTACGTGGTTGAAGTTGAACTGTGTCATTATGTATCTAAACATGCGGTTCCATATCAAAGGAAAACAAACTGCCGGGCAAAAGAAATTATCACTTGTAAAGAAATTGTATCAATAATAAAAACGCTGGTACAGGTTTGAACCCAAGCAGAAAACATTCGCCGAAACGCAACCTTCGTACGACTCGTGCATATTTCAAAACGTTAAAAACGCTTTGTGGGACCAGTAACCAAAATACCACAACGGATATGCCATGACTTACGCAGACGCAACGAGACAGGGCGATCGGTATGTCTAATATGGGGGCTTCACAACGTCAGCTGGCAAGAACCTTCAACTGCAGCCAGGCCACCATCGACAAATTGATAAACCGCTACCAGCAAACAGGCCAGATCCGAGACCTCGCAAGATAGGGAAAACGGAGACCCCAAAACCGGTCAAAGACCGCTTCATCTGGTAGATCCAACTCCGGAACAGATTCGTGATGGCGACGTCAACGGCGGCGACAGCACTAGGACACACCATCAGCAGACGAACAGACCTTCGGCAACGACTTGGTATGGCTGGTATAGAGCCTACCGCCCCTTCCGTAGGACGGCCTTGACCCCACACCGTCAACGCATACTGCAATGGACACAAACTGTACATCGGTGGCAGCGACATGACTGGGAATCAGTGCTCTTTGCTTATGAAAGTCTGCTCCGTTTGTTGAGAAACGATGGCAGAGTTTGAGTTTTTCGGCGAAGAGGAGAGCGACCGGCGCCAAACAGCGTTCAAGATGTTCATCCGTTTGATGGACGAGGCGTCATGGTATGTGGCGGTATTTGTGGCCAGAAAACGACAAGACTGGGTATCATCCGAGGAGATCTGAATGCCCAGCGATACAGGGATGAAAGGATGACCTTCTGTGGTGCCCTTTATTCGACAACAGGCAAGGATAGTTATTTTGCAGTACGACAACGCAAAGCCTCACGCCGCCAGAATGTTTCGAGAAAACCTTCACAACGTTAACATCAACGTATTGCCTTGGCCAGCGCGTCCTCCAGACATGTACCACATTCAACATCTCTGGGATCATCTCGATCGTCAGCTCAGACAGCGTGTACCACCTCCAGCGGACCGACAGGAACTTGAACAGATCCTCTTGGATTTATGGAACAGGATTCCTGCTGACATCATCCGCCGACTGACGACGTCAATGAGGAGACGTGCTTGATGACGTGTCCAATGACTCCAGTCTCATTATGTAACTCTTTATGCACTTTTGAATGAACTCTGATTTGTGTATTTTTTTTATTTTTACCACTTGACTCTTTCTTAATGAATTGTGGCAAATGTAAGCATTACAATGAATTTTCTGCCAAAGTATTGGAAAATGATTTCTTTTTGTAAAATAATTATCTATATTTAGGTCAAGTGAAGTCAGTGATAAGTATATTTTGGTCAAGTGAAGTCAGTGATAACTATATTTTGGTCAAGTGAAGTCAGTGATAACTATATTTTGCCCGATAGTTTAGACACAGGCATAACAACAATGGTTCGTGGCATTTGATATATCAATTAGTTTGCAATGAGTGAGTGAGTGAGTTTAGTTTACGCCGCACTCAGCAATATTCCAGCTATATGGCGGCGGTCTGTAAATAATCGAGTCTGGACCAGACAATCCAGTGACCAATAGCATGAGCATTGATCTGCGCAATTGGGAGCCGATGACATGTGTCAACCAAGTCAGCGAGCTTGACCATCCGATCCCGTTAGTCGCATCTTACGACAAGCTTGGGCTACTGAAGATCAATATTCTAACCCGGACCTTCACGGGTCTGAGTGCAATGAATGTATCGGGTTTAACGCTGTTTTGAACAGGTCCCTGAACAACGACATGGTAGGTGTCATCTATATCATTGTCAATGGAAAATGGAAACAAACAAAGTGATGTCGAAGAACCAGTAAGTGTTCCTGATATTGACATCTGATATATCAATTAAAGACAATGAGTAATAGAGTGAGTTGGAATAAACGCTGTATCCTCTTACGTCTAATTGTATCGCCTTCAGGATGGACAGAAGCCACAAGTGAAGTAGGGTTCAAACTTTCATCCCTCAAATACTAACCCACTAGCTCAGATATATAATATGTGACTATTTCCGTCTTATCTTAATTGGTCTTATCAAACAAAAACTACAATCTTCAGAGCTATTAAACCATTTTGACAACATATTTATGTTAGATCTGTTAGTTTCTAAAGGTATACGTACGTGCAGGACAATCATCTGTTGCGATCGTTGTCAGATTTGTGAGTTGCTCAGAAAGCCCAGCTAACATTGTGCTCACTAGTTGTAGTTGGTTTTCAAAGCAATTCGGGTCTGTGGTATCTAGCAACATATAGAAATACAAATTGTTACCTGTTGTTGACCTGCGTGTACAGTTTCACATTGTGTGAGTTTTGTCGGATGATCTTACTACACAGTTGATATCAGGCGACAGACATGATCAGCTTCAACTGCAGGGTTCAGGTGGTTTGGTTGCCATGTGCCTGTCATCCTCAGGCTGATTGCAAGGAAATACAATGGTCGATTTCGCTGCTGATGCAGCACTTAACAAATCTGTGACACCACTTACAACCCCATACACTGAATATACAGCTGTGATTAGAGCATATATCTGTGATCTAATGCAGGTAGGGATAAATACGTTACATCTAATAACACCAACAATTGGTTACACCTACAGTCCGTTTGAGACAAATTGATACCGATGAATTGCAAACTAACACAAAAACAAATAGACATAAAAGAATCAAACCAACGCGGACTGCAATAAACACAACATACCAACTCTAGAAAGAAATTGCATAATTTGTGTCACAAAAATAAAAAAGTTGTTTGAGAAACTGTCATCATTTATCTGTGCGTTTTCCCAGTTTGTTACAAGGGCGCAGTGGCAAATAAAGGAACAGGGTTGTCAGACTAGATTTGAGGAGGTCATGCGACGATGTCGTATTGGTCATACTAGATATAACACACGAATACTTCAGAATCTTAAAAGGTGAGGATCCTCCGTTTTGTATCCCTTGTGATGATAGAATCATGCCAATCATGTCCTGCTTCTCTGCGTTGATTTTTCCATCACAAGAGATCAATATTTGAATGTCAAAACATTGAGGGATCTTTTTAGTAAATTAATGTTAATTGCCATTTTATTATTATTATTTTTGAAGAAATAGAATTGACTGACAATTTTCAATTAAGATGCTTTGTAAATAGACAAATGATATTTTATGATTAGTAGTGTAAATTAGCAACCAAGATTGTTAGTGGCTGTATCCTCAAAGGGTGTTAAAGTCTCGTAAAATTATTTTCCTCCTGAGAGGGTACATGAGTCCCAAACCTTTCAAAGTCAATTTAAACCTACAACATTATTTAATCGTGGGACATATGTTATTTAAATTTATGGCTAAATCTGTCTCCAATCGCCAGTTTCTGAAGAGTTGGTGTAAATCCAGCTAGGGTCCATACAGGTAGGAGAAACAATGTAAGTCCAGCATGGTGATCTACCTTCAGTTGCTGATGATCTATTGTTAAAATCGTTTAGATTCAATTACTACTACTAGGTTTAAATGTATATCTGTGATAATCTAGTTGTTTTACTCACCTCCGTTTGACAGGTTTTTATAATTTACCTTTAACTATTATGAATCTATTCCTTGACTGAGTCACGATATGGCTGAAATAGTGCCGATGTGACTTAAAATCTTAACTCACTCACTCACTAATCGCAAGGCATCAACGGACAGAAAATATCTAAGACCGGCCTCGTTCTGGACGACCGAGGGACGCTACGTCAGTACAGGATCACCATGCTCATGGTCATCATGTAGATGGCACGAAGAACGTGGTCTAGAACGCTGGTTAAGGCGTTTGGGGCGGTGGGGTAGCCTGGTGGTTTAAACGTTCGCTCGTCACGCCGAAAACCCGGGTTCGATTCTCCACATGGGTACAATGTGTGAAGCTCATTTCTGGTGTCCCCCGCCGTGATATTGCTGGAATATTGCTAAAAGCGGCATAAAACTAAAACTCACTCACTCACTTAAGGCACTTAAAAAATTAAACTTTAATGAGTTATGTTTCCCATGGGTTTTGATGCCAAACAATATCATGACCCTTTTACCTTCAAACTGACGTACAATAGCGCCTACGTCGCTAAACCGATCTCCTGGTTGCCATAACAACATTCCGCCTTCGAGATCCAGATTTTCAGGTTGCCCGTAATTCATATAAGGCAATATTCCAACATAATATACGGGATGGTTATATTTCTCTTATTAAGATGAATTTATACAAATTCAATTGGGATGTGGAAGCCTCGATGGCTGAGTGGGTTAGATGGATGACTTTACTGGCGACTGGGTTCGAATCCTGGATGGGACTCAACTTAACAAAAGTACTGGAATCAGGGCCTAGATTTTCAAAGGTCTCTTATTGCTAAGATAGTCGTAAGTTAATGTTAATGTATGGCACTTTCGAGTATCTAATTCCTGAGATGTACAGAGATCAAGGAGATTAGGTGATATTTTGATTGACATGTACAGAGTTCAGTGGTATGTTTATGCAATAGACTGGTATAGAGATAATGTGTACAGAGTGTTTATACAACGAAAAGGATATACGTTGATTGGATATACATTTCTACATTGATTGGAAGCCATTTGTGAAAACAGTAATGGAAGTGAGTGAGTGAGTTTGGTTTTACGCCGCTTTTAGCAATATTCCAGCAATATCACGGCGGGGCACACCAGAAATGGGCTTCATATATTGTACCCATTTGGGGAAACGAACCCGGGTCTTCGGCTTGACGAGCGAACAGTTATTGGAAGACACACATAAAAGCATGTTACAATAATTAGGAGCAGCATGGGAAAACATGTACAGTGAATTGGAAACTTATTTTTCTATGCACCAAGCATTGGGTAGGAAAACACCCTGAACCTTTTAATTTCAAGTTTTGCGCGGTGGATCCAGATGTCTTTCATTTCTAAATGTCATTCAAAGACTTCAGGCGTAAACACTTATCGCGAAACCTACTAGCACTAATATTATATGTCGGATATTGGAGACAATTGTGTTGCATCATGTTTAAAAAAAGAAATATTTGTACCCTTGTTTATGTGGTTCCGTTTGATTTCTTTTTTTACCAAAAAAACTTGACGCCTTAACTTAGTGACCATTGCAAAAATATTCAGTCACCTCATTAAGGTCCCGATTTTAAAATTGAAATTTCAAAAGCAATTTAGCTATCTAACGCGCTGAAATTAATCAAAACATTGCACAAAGGAGTCATCAAACTCAAGTTCATTTGATTTAATGTATTTATGTTGTGACATACTTACACCAGTTAGATCATGATGAAGCTCTGACCAGCTTCACGAATACTTCGCAACACCGTTAAAGCAAAAATGCGGTGCATTGTCTACAATTTAGATAGTCTATAATATGTTGTTCATTAAATATTGCAAATCATTGTGTTCTAGCCTCTTGTAGTATAGTGATAATGTCGCCAGCCCAAAGACTCGGGTTCCAAGTCACATCGTTCTGTGGCCAGTGACGGTGTTAGAGTCGCCACGAGAATCACGATGAGTCTTACGTCGACCACCGCCATGTTGATTCCTTTCTGTCAGACTTTTGTCTCAACTTGACGCTGATATAGGTATTGTGAACTTCTTTTTCCATTACACAATGATTTGCAATATTTCAGAAAATTATCTCAAACACAGTTTATAAACACCAGACAATATTTTAAAAGGTTTTATTAAAAGGCAAGAATTTATGGATGTCAACCTCTTTATTTTGAATGACACGACGTTTGGGGATATATTCTTACGCCTTCATCAGGTGAATGCGATTTTACTTACCTACACAGGGACACCGCCCGTCGGTAAGGTTGAAGACAGACTGGAAGTCATTTCTAGCCTCTTGTAGTATAGTGATAATGTCGCCAGCCCTGATATTCAAAGACTCGGGTTCCAAGTCACATCGTTCTGTGGCCAGTGACGGTGTTAGAGTCGCCACGAGAATCACGATGAGTCTTACGTCGACCACCGCCATGTTGATTCCTTTCTGTCAGACTTTTGTC